AAAGGAAATGGGCAATGTCCATTTGTTCACTACTAACTGATTCAATCTGTAACAACACGGAAGGCAGGTAGGTGACCATTGCAGACTTCCAGAAATGTGTGTGATTTAAAAAGAGGGCTTTGCAAAGAGTCCTACATTAGCGAAGAGGAGAGGTGCAAAAGATAGTGGAGTATGAGTTAGTTACCTCTTTCCCTCTCAACTTTAAGTTTCTTCTAGTTAAGACTACACATAATTAAAGAGAGTGAAAGAAGTCAAACAACTCTACAGAGTCTGTAACAACAGCTAGGAGGGCAGGTTGGGAAGGGACCAAATCAACATCTCTTTTGTCCTAAGGACACACTGCCATCTTCATACCCTGTGCAGATTTTTTTTTAAGCACTCAGACTTTCAAACATCTTGCTTCTTACTCAAGAATGCCACCAGTGAAAAAGAATGCTAGCAGCTTCCTGGCTTTAAAAATCTGCCTGGAGGAAGTAGTCAAGACGGAGCTTGTATTATTCAAATACTGTATTAGAGCACAAATAGTTGTTTTGAAGGAGGGAAGAGAAGAATTTCAGAAGAATGCTGTGTTCTGAGCCTTGAGAAGGGGTGGTGGACAGGGATCAGGAAGGTAATGAAGTCATTCAGGGAGCCTCATAAAGTCAGTCAAGACAACCGAGGCCGCTCAGGGCCCGGATACGTGTGTCTGGGGAATAAAACCCAACGCCCTTGGCTTCCAGCAGGAACAATAACAGAAACTGCCAGACTGGAGCTACACAGGGGGAGAATGAATAAATGACTGAATGAATGGCTCCAGGAATGACAAATACAGACAGCAACCTGCTTTACTCAGTAGGAAAAGGAATTACCTAGAAGAAAGGAATAGAAGAAAAACATCTAACCACCCCCCTAAAAGACAAAATCTCCTACAATTTCATTTTTCATTTATGTGTAAGCATCTTTGTAACTTTCACAGAATTATTTGCATTTCACAAGGTGGCTGATGACAGTCTTACATGTTAAAGGCATTCATTAAACTCTGTCCCAATAGAGAATAAAAAGCATGATTTAAACTAAGCTTAATCTAATTTTGAGATGACTATTCTCTTGTGGGAGAGACCCTGCAACACCATAAATTTGGGCTTCTGAAAATAGAGACAAGGACACTGAGAAGCCACTTCTTGCTTTCCATTTATATTCTTGCAAAGTTTCAAGGTTTAAGTCTTTCCTCCAAAATGAGTTACAGTAAATGATTCTAAATTATTGGGCTTAACAAAAACTGTTACTGAGGAGACATTTTGAGATAGTAACATGCCAAATAAAAACAACTGCAATAAGGTATTAAGATTTATTATACTTTGATAATCTTCTTTTGAAAAGTAAACACTGTGTCTTGGGTCAGAGATTACTGGCTACTAAATGCAGGAGAAAGATGAGCAGTCTCCTCCTACGCGATTTAAAGCTTCTGAAAACCTGCTGGAGGGTCAACTGACTCAACGGCAATGAGTGAGTGAGTTACTAAACAATTCTGCAAAACTCTTATCCTTTGCCAGGATAAACGGTGTCATTTCCTAGCTTCCAAAGTCAGCTATTTTTACTGTTTGAGAAAATATAGGAAGCTTGAGGGCAAATACAACCTTAAACACAAAGGAGAAGAACAAAACAGCAAAAAAGAAAATATGTCTATAGCTATGGTAAAAATAAAAGGTACCATGGCACCAACAAGACATTTAAAATGTGTGCATCTTAAGAAAAAGCAAATACCTCAAAGGGCCCAAGGGAAATTCTCTTGTACGTGAACTTAGGTATTTGCTATTTATTATCAAGAGACTTTCTGATAAATATCTATGCACTAAATAAATATGTAAGAAAATCACTACAACTAAATAGCATGAACTTAAAAAGATAAACCACTGGTTGCTTCACTTGATAATGTCCAAATTAAAAAAACAATTCATTCTCCCATAGCAACTTGTCTAATGCCATCAATAGACACTAACAACTGAGTACATAAATATTTGTGTATGCATACATATGTATACTCATACACTTAATCAAGGGAATGTTACCCTAATTAAGCATATGAAAATATACAACACTAAGCAAAAGTATGCAGTGATAAAGTTTGTGTAAAAGAGTAGATAAATTTAATAACAAAAAGGTCTCACGCTTGGATAGAATCCATTTTTTATAACAAAAGCTGGCATCTGAGAAAGCTGGTTCATTTGTATCTCGGAAAGCCCTACAGTATTTCTATAAGTCATTAGATATCACAAATATTTGGGGCACCTTATGTACATGGCATCTTACTGTGGCTCATAAGAATGATTTCTAAAACTCTGCCTCTTCTAGCAAATAATTTATAGTTAAGTGTGACATTGTAAAAAAGCTACAAAAACAACAATAGGAAATAGTCTGGGCTAAATGCAAATTTAGTAGCATAAACGGGGTGTCTGCGTGGACAGGACATATTCTAGTTTGCCAATAAATAAATGATCTTACAAAGTACAGGGTATTTAACAACTCTGTGAGGAAGAGAAGTCAAAAGAGAGAACAAAATACAAAAACATGAATTAGGGAGAAAGATGCAAGGCTTAACTGAAGAATAACAAGTAATCTGGTTTTGAGCACAAGATTCAGTCTTTGAATATCACACTTAGAAGTTAGGCATTCTTCAAACTACCTAATGAACAGTAATAACAGAACGGGATTGTTGAAAAATTACTTGGGGACGTTTTTGGTTTTTTGTTGTTGTTTTGTTTTGTGTGTGTGTGTGTGTGTGTGTGTGTGTTTAGTATCTGACAAAAGTAACACATTATAAAGGTAATAAAGTGACATGTATAACACTGATGTTCAATATGTTGTTGCTATGTCCTGTCAAGTTGGAACTGACCATAGCTGGCCCTCCAGTGGGTTTCCAGAGGCAGTAAATCTCATGGTAAGACACTGCCCATCCTCTCATGGTGCAAGTGGTGAATTCGAATCATAGCCCTTCAGTTTGACAGCACAGGTTCAGTCTAAAAGACTTGAAACAAGCTGATGAAGAGTAATTTGGGATGAAAACAGTCTTTTATTAAACTTTTCTTTTGACAAATGAATCCGTCTACGGGGAGCCTGATGGCCAGTGGCAGTGAGAAAGAAGGAAGAATCAGGAATGCCCATTAAGGGCTGGGGATCTGATTGTTGCAGGGAGAACAGCATTTGCCTGGAACATGGCTCACTGCCATCTCTGGGTGCCAGGTAGAAAAGAAATCGGTGCCCTCCTTTTGTCCCAAACAACCCTCTACTGCTCAGCCCACACCAATCAATTTTCCTACTCACTGACCTGGATGTGAAGACTCCTCTCTACATGTGAGCCGTGCCCCTCAATTTGAAACTCTGGCTCTTTCTCAGACTGTGATTCAGCTTTGTCACGAGAGCCACACCTGGTTCCCAGGAACCCCTTACCAAGGCTTGTTCCCACCGGTTTATTCTAGTTTCCAAAGAAGGGCCTGGATTGAAATATACCTAGAAAAAGTTTAGTCTATAAAAGGAATGAGTTTAGATTTTAGACACAGTGGGAATTGAAGGTATAAGAGACACAGCTGAGTCGTTATATCTAGCCGGTAACTGTAACTGAAGAACAGTAGCCAAGGCTATACAAAAACTGTTTTGGAATTCATGGAGAGGAAAGTCTTTGAATAAAATAAGGTCCTAAAAGAAAAATAAACCAGAAATTTTCAAGCTAGAAATCATGATAATGCTCCTATTTAGGCACAATGAAGAAGACAGACTAGGACAATATTGGACCAATAAAGCTTTGGAACGGGGGAAAAAAATGTTCAAGTGATTACATAGTAATCAAAGTTCTTGTTTTTAAATTTTGAGGTAAAGATGACCTCAATCTGGTTTAATGGGAACAAATATGTTTTATCAAGAACACAAAGATTAAATCAGCTAAAAAAAAAAAAAGAAAGAAAAAAGGTGTGGTCCCATTGCTCTGAGTGCCGGGCTCAAAGCCAAAAAGGTCCTCCTTCTAATCCTGCTGTAACCAACCAACTTCAAATAACTTCACTTCGCTGCCTCAACTTCCCCACCTGCAGAAATAGGGATAATGACACTGACCCACATTTGTCCCAGTGTTGTAGGGTTAATTAATACTGGAGAGCACTTTGAAGATGAAAAGTGCTGAGCATTACTAGCGAGTATTACAAAACTAATTGTAATATGAAAATTTTATCCTTTAATTTGATTCAAACAGCACCTATCAAGTAAGTGTTCTAGCTCCCTCAGTTAACATTAACTTGCAAATTTTATCATTAAGCTGTTATTTAAAATGTTCTGAGATGACTCCATAGGGGCCTGGTGGTACAGTGTATTAAATACTGGGCTGCGAACTGACAGGTCAGCAGTCTGAACCTTGTTGTGCGATACTGACTCGAAACTGACCCAGAGCTGACCCTCCAGGGGGTTTACAGAGGCTGTAATGTAAATTGCATGGGAGGAGGGTGCCCATCTTTTTCCCATGGAGCAACTGGTGAATTCAAACTGTCTGCCTTTGGGTTGGGAGTACAATTCCTTACCCACTAGGCCACTGGAGCTCCCTAGGATGCTGTATGTACACCTAGCTTTTCTTGCACTGAACATTCCAGTCTGGATATTCCATAGTATATACAAATCCACCTCGTTGTACTTTTAGCTATGTTATTGAACAGTGGTCTTAATGCTCTTCTCTGTTCTCTTAATAAATAAACTTTCCCCCCTCTAGTTTTTGCTTAACAAATGACAGTCAATTATTTTCTAGTTGATCAGACTTGCAGCACCTTTTATAGGACAGAAGAAAACTGCCCCACAAGGCTTCCAAGGCTACAAATAATTAAAGAAGCAGAGCGTCACATTTTTTCTGCCATTGAGTTGCAGGTGATTTCTAACTGATGACCTTCTGGTTAGTAGTCAAGAGCTTTAACTGTTGCTCTACTTTAGCCCTTTGTACCACGGAAATACATATGCACTTCTTCAATTTTGATAATCAAACGGGTTACCGTTTCATCAACGTTGACTCCCAGGGGCCCCCGTTTTGTCAAGCACACCGTGGGGTCTTCAAAGATGTGGTCTTCAGAGGCCACCACCATGCCTTTTTATGGAGGCACCCTCTACCAACTTTTCAATTAGTTGTAGAATCCTTGAGAAAAACCAAATGTATGCACCACCTTCAAGTCAGTTCCAACTATTGAAGACAGACCCTCCTGAGTGTCCAATGTTATATCTCATTGGAGAGACCACCAATCATTCTCCTGTGGAGAGACTGGTGGAATCGAACTACCAGCTTTAGGTTAACCACCTTTGTACACTACACCTTCATAGTTCTCAATAGCATTACTGTTATGTGTTGACTACAACTCACAGTGACCCTGTAAATATTAGCTCTGAAGCCTACTCTATCCTGAGCCAATCTCACTGTCTCTGACATACCCACCCCCATTACAAGAGTCACTGAGTTAATCCATCTCATTTGGGGACTTTCTCTTCTGGGCTGTACCTCCACCCTTCCAAGTACAATGCCCTTCTCCAAGGACTGGTCCCTCCTAGCAACATGCTCAAAGTGTGTGGGTACTGTCCAATTGTCCTTCAATATGAATACACCAATAATAACATGACTGCACTATTCCCTGGTGTTGGGAGCCTTCGAACCAGAAGTGACTGATAGCTGACTCTTCGGTGAATTTTCAGAGGCAGTAAACAGCATAGGAGGAGACTGCCAATCATTCTCCCACAGAGGCGCTGGTGGATTCGAACTGTGTGCTTTTGGGACTGCAGCGCAGCATCTTACCACTGGGTCACCAAGAACAGAATGCATGATAAAAATTTTACATTTCAATTTGGTAAATTGAAAATGAGTTCTTACAATTTTAGTTTCATTTTGCTGTTTATGAAAGAGATTAGATATCTTGTCATATATTTCTTTTCCTAGCATTTTATTGTTTTAGGTTAAAATATACTGTATTTTAAATAAGCTGTAAGTCAGCTTCCCGTTTAACAATTTTCATACATAGATTGTTCTCTACTTACCTCCCGTTTCCATTGATCTGGCCTCCTTTCTCCTCTTAGCTCCACTTCTCTTTGCTTTTGGGTAAAGGTTGACTATGAGTCTCATTTAATGACTTAAGGAAATGCATTACTGATGAGTGATAATGGTTCTTTCTTTTTTTTTTTTTTCTTTTTTTGGGTTTTTTTTTTTAATTATTCATTCATTCATTCATACACAGATAATGGTTCTTTCTTAACCACTCTATTTCTTATTTGGCTAAAAACCTACCAGCTGAAACCGCTTCAATTCTAAGTGCAATGGCTAGCTCTAGTCACAGGCGTTCCTCGAGCCTCTATATGGTCAGTAGGCTGGGCCTTTTTTTAGGAATCTGAGTTTCCTACATTTTTCTCCCATTCTGTTCAGACTTTCTGTTGTGTCCCTGGTGAGGACAGTCTGTAGTGGGAGCTGGGCACCGTCTGATCCTCCTGGTGTCAGGTTCTAAAAGGCTGTGGGTTTTGTGGGCTACGGATTGATTCCGTCACCAGGATGGTGGGGGCTGGTGTGTCAGAGACAATAAGGTTGGCCCACGCACGATAGGGCAGGGTTGTTGTACAGTAGGCTGTTGTACACAGGGTCAGGTCGCTTTGAGTTGCAAGCGCCTTGATGGCACATAAAAGCAACAACAGTCTCGATTACCAGCATGGGAGAAGGACAGACAATCTCCTCCCTTGCTAATAATAACTGCCTCTGAAAACCATCCAGAGATGGCACGCGACAATAACAACAGTCTAGTTCAGTATTTGAGCCCTTCATTTCCTTCTTTCTCTTTTGCTCCATGTGAGCTGAGATCCACAGCTATATTGCAGATGACAACGCACGTGCTTTCAAGACCCCAAATGTCACACACCGAACTAGGATGTAGAATATTACATCATGCTAATTCTCTGAGTTCTTCCCCTAACATGTATTTTTCACAATTTTGTGTCTATAATCTGTTTCTATTTTTTAGCCCAAGGGACCCTAGTGATCGGGAGCGTAAGCCATCCAGCTGCTCATGAAAAAGCTGGTGGTGCAAACTCATGGGCTGCTCCCAGGACGAGGAAGAGGAGGTGGCAGTGTGCATCTACGCGGATATACGCCGCTCAGAGAACCCACGGGGTGGTCCCAGCCTGCCCTAACATGTCACATGTCACAATCAATCAGTTTGACAACACTGGGATCTTTACTCCATCTTCCTATCAAGTTCTTTATGTGTATTCATCAAATCAATCATTTGGCATCTACTTTGGAAATAGATACAAACTTCCTTTCTAAATTTCATCAACTCTGTCTATGAAGGAATAAAAGGGTACACAAGCAACTTCCTATAAATGCTGGACAAAAGATCAAACAGAAAGTTCCTTGAATTCACTTCAGCCAGTGCTGTAGTAATCTCCCACAGAAATTTAGGCTCCGTGTTCAAAGGATGGTTCTTTACAGCAACGAACTACTGATTGGATGGCATTATTTCTGGATAAAATCTAAAGGTTCCAGGCTGCTATGTTCCAAGTGACCCACTGCAGAGTTCTCACTAGAAACCAAAAGAAATTGTATGCCTAGAAAGAAAAGAAGTCCTTTCACTTTCCTGAAATAAACACTGGCAGAAATATTTATGAATCTCCCTCATACTTAAATTTAGGAAATATTCCTCCAGAGCTTTATTCAAACTCTTTCATTCACTTGGTTAAATAGATCTTGTCAATTTAACATTTTCTGCGCTCTAAGCAGTTTTGACATTTAAACCGTTTATCAATACCTGCTTCACTGTGGCCTGCTGCCTCTTCTTCATTCTGCTCATTACATGCAACAAATTAAATTCCACTAATATTTAAAGATCAGTTCTGACCTTTGCAAAGCCATTTTCTAGGTTCCCGTTAATACAAACATCTTGTTTGCTAATGTTCACTTTAAATATTTTGCTGCACAAAAGTTTTCATTATTCCAAAGAGACTTGTATCTAGTGGAAGTGCATGTTTCCTCAAGACTATAAAAAATAATTGCAGTGCCTTGCATTCGTTTTAGAGGAAAAACATGCCTGCATTAGAAATAAGAGTAATCATCGCATTCTGTCCCCACCCTTCCCGTTCCCCAACACCTTTACCTAGCTTTCTGATCTTCAAAACTATGGACTTAATTCCTCTTTGGATTGCCTACCTCAATCACAACAATAAAAAGACAAATAAAACAGAAATGTTGTCAATGTGATAATAATAATTAATTTTAGATTATAATTCCACAAATACAGGGATTTCTTTTTCTACATTTGAGGAGATAGAAAGAAATGGGACTTTGAAGGAAAAAAAATGCACTGAATTTCAGGAATAATTCCTAAAGAGCGGAGTTAAAGACAAGAGAACACTGAAATGCTCTTATCTAAACCAATGCTTAAATGCCGAAATAATTTGTCAATGTGGAGTTACTGCTTTAAAAAGCATATAAATCAAAGACTGTTCTGAAGCGAGCAAGAAGGGAAAAAACAGATCCTTTCTTTTCAAACGGGGAAGATGGGGGTGGGGGGAATTCTGAAGTGGCCCCGGAGCTATCCCACCTCAACCTTGTCAAATTTCACTTGTCAACACTCTGGTGACAGATCACCACCCCCCTTCTAAAAACCAAACCCTAGTAACTGTTGAAAGAAACTGCTTGTTACAAAAAGTAAAATATCTCATGCAACTTGATAGTTGTACCTTAAAAATCTTTCTTTCCTGAAAGGGCACTAAAGAACTTTTTCCTGGGGCTTCTATCAAAACCAAGAAGCTAAGGCACCCTCCCAACATGAGGACATGGAGCATTTCATAAAAATCTACAAGATGCAGGAGGGAGTTCTGGTGGCATAGTTTATACTGCGCTGTGCAGCTAACAAAGAATCCACAAATACACTTAATATTCTAATTTCTCTTAATCTTCACAATAACCCTTGGAAATTATATACCAAACTGAGCATGTATGTGCTTGTATGTGGACAGAGTATGTATACAGAAGCATTTTTCTTAGCAAGGAACAGAGTTACTATAAAGAAATCTGTATGCTTCCCCCCCCCCACTCCTCCCCTAATCAATTCTAAAAGACCCTCAGGCCTTTAAGTATGTGGAAATTGAGGCCGGCAGAAGTAAAATCATTTAAAACAGAGGTATCCTTCAGGCAGGTTGTTGGGGGGACAGGACCAGCACAACGTGCTGTTCTCTCTACCAGTACAGCGCTCAAACATGTCTTCTGGTTGAGCGTCTTCGTAACCACCGAGAACAGGTGTCAGGACAGATCTCTAGAATTAATCCATGATGAAAGATGGAGATGAAACTTATTTTCTGACCAACTTTTACTTTATTTTGCTTAGGAAGTTCTTAGAGTAAGATTATCAGAATACCTTTTGGAGGATTATTTTTAACCAATAGATCAACAGTTTGTAAGTAAAGTGATGTACTTCCAGCCATCAAAAAGGCTCAACTGAAAACTCGAATTTTTTAGGCATTAAAGGACCTTCAAACCATTGGCTTAGCAAACATCACAGGTAATGCTAAAACAAGCTCCAATACAAATCATAATGATTTATGGCTGTTTATCAAATAAGTTGACGTTTTCATTCTAAGTTACCATATATATTTTATCAGGGGAGTTTTATTTCTAGATAAACTATCCTTAACTCTCCTTATCTGGTGCCCAATATATTTTCAGTCCTTCAGTGACATCAACAGTTCATAAAAAGTGTCCTAATAAAACAAAAATGCAATAAACCCCCAAAAAAGTGAATAAGAATTTTCTTGTGTAGGGTCTATATTGTGATTTCATCTTCCTTCACATTCCTTCTTCCTGAAAAAAAAAAAAAGACTGTGTTTGCCTTTCCTAATGTTTGTCACAACATTCTTACTTACCTAACACTTGCAGTATTTTGTTTCAATGGCTGAATGGAGAAGAAAAGTAGCTAACTCAGAAAAGAACAGCCTTTTCTTATTGAAATGAAGGGCTGTGAATAACCACCAGGTCCCTTGAGAATGGATCAATTTCAACTTAATATATTTAATACAGGCATACATCATCAGGGCTTAAAATGTTAATAATTCCCTAATG